CAGGGGGACGGCGTCAATAACATCTACGGCCCCGTCAGCACCCCCGTCCCCGGCGTCGCTCCCACTACTTTGCGACACATTATCCGGCTCGCCATCAGCCCGGATGGTCCCCACCGTCGTGGCTGAACCAGAGGTCCCGGAAATGCTGGCCTTCCCAGGGGAGCGAGCACTCACATCGGCCGAAGAGGAGCCCGAGGAGGAACCCGACGAACCGGAATCAGAGCTTGACGAAATCTCCATCGAGGTCATTTCGGCTAGGAATCAGAACAAGAAAAGGAGCAGAGGGGGGAAATTACCTTACAAAGGGGTTAGCCGGATTCAGAAGAAGACTTGAAGAGCTGCGGAAAATCGGGAGCAAGAGAGCAGAAATTGGGAACCCTAATTCAGAGGGAAAACCCGGTATTTAAAGGAGAAAACACCGATGGCGAAGCCAACAAGGGGCCGACACGTGGCAAGGAGCGTACCCCGGCCACGCGCTGTGCGTGGGATGGGAACGTAATGATGACACTTCCTCGGGAAAATGCGCCGCCGCAACATCAGCCATCACCTCGTTTCCTGAACCGTCAACAGCTGTCAAGCACCATGGCCACGAGCGTACGATTCCGCCAAGATGCAACGAACACAAGTGCCAAAATACGGACGTCTACTTCGGGGAGGTTCATACTTCCTTATGTCCTGCGCATGCTCAGAACATCAGAAGTGGGGGACTTGTGTTGGGTTAAGGGCCCAAGCCGAGGTCCGGCCCACTAACCCATTTTGCCAGACGACCGTCCAGCTAGAAACTAGGCCAGCCCACAGCCATCCCGACGAGCGTCTAAGCAGGGACAAGGAGCGGAGCCACGGGCCATCAGGGGTGACGACGAACGTCTCCCGAGCAAGCCCATAGTCATCGGAGGAGACCCAGCCCACATGGTGAGAATCCATCAAGGCCAGGAGACGAACAGCCAATATCCCTCAAGGGTCACTTGGAGGAATCCAACTCACTTCCCGGGTGGACGAACGTCCCCACTATTCCGGCGGGAAACCTAGATTCTGGCGGGAGGTGCATTTAATGCTAAAGATTTGGTAGTTGGGGCACCAGCGGTCCACAGGCTGCCACGTCAGTACAGCCACCTGCCCACTGGCGGGTATAAATAGAAGCATTTATTTCATTGTAAAGGGTTGGCAACTTTCTATTCTTAGCATACTAGCTCCAGCATTCTTACGAGTAGCATTTCTATCGCCTTGTAAGACGAACGGCCGACGTGCCCTTTTTAGCAAGTAGATTGTACTTAGGGGAGTTATTACGAAGTTAATAATACCTATTTACATTGCCTGCTATCACTCTTGTTTCCTGATCCATCTGATAGTTGTTGGGCTAGATAACCACACACTCACTCCACTCGAAATCTTTGGGCTTACGTGTTGGGTCCAAGGGTTGAAGGAATAAACCTCAACAATTTGTATACTCATATTTTAGTTCGAATTTGCAATAGTTTTCTTAGTCACATTTTATTATTACTATTGTACTCATATAAAATATTTGATATCATTTAATATTTGTTCAATTTTAAAGATGGAACGTGGTAGACATTCTGTAGATGTGGGTAATCTCCAACGCAACCGCAAGAGGGAGATTGCGTCGACTCGTCCTAATTCACGCAAAGGCAAAGGTAAAGCGCGGGCCAAGTCTTCTTTTCAAAGTCGAGATGATTTTGAAACGGATTACCAACGGAGAGATGATATGATGATGTCCGACGAGCATCTACAAAACCTATTGTCCCAAAACGATCCACGCTTTGCACAAGAACAACCCATCCCGACAACCATTGATGAAGAGGAGCTCGAGGATGACGATGCGGAGGAGGACGCGGGGGGCGACGGGACTCACGGCACCCCGGATGATGAGCAAGACTTGGAGGACGAGGGCGGTTCAACCCAAACTGGTAAGAAATCTATATCTCCTATTATTGAAAACAATTTTACAAAAAGGAAAGACAAAAATACCGAAAAATGGTACGCAAGTTGCAATCATTGCGACAAAGAGTATAGCTTGGGAACTTCTGGCGGATACGAGAGTCTCACAAGGCATCTTAAGTCCGCCCATCTTGTGGAGTATGCGAAAATAGACAAGGGCAAGGGGAAGCAAACACAAATATCGAGGTTTGCAAATTCTCAACCCTTTGGTAATTTCTCCTATGATGATCAAAAACATTTGACTGGTATGTCTCATTTAATTGTTGAAGAAAATTTACCCTATATTTTTTCCGAAAGTCTTGCTTTAAGAGATTATGCTCAAGGCACTTTAAATCCTCAATTTAGAAATTATAGTCGCAAAACGATTAAAAAAGAAGTTATAAGGCAATATAACTTCGAAAAAGAAAATTTACAAACATTTTTCGCAAACTTTAATGGACGTGTTAGTATTTGTAGCGATATATGGGAGGATACTTATCATCATTTATATTATTTGGGTCTTACTGCACATTATATTGATGATGATTGGAATATGCATAAACGTGTTCTTGCTTTTCGTGAATTCAATGATCGTCATACTGCTGATAATATTTATATTCTCATTGAGCGTATTTTAATTGAGTATAATTTGCTTGATAAGGTGTTTGCTCTAGGTTTTGATAATGCTAGTAATAATACTGCTACTATACCTAGATTGCGTGAATTGTGTGGTGCTTCTACATTGATGGGTAGGTTTTTTCATCAACGTTGTGCATGTCATATTCTAAATTTGTGTGTACAAGATGGATTAGCGGCATTAGGACATGCTTTGGAGGTAGTGAAGGGGGGAATTAAATTGATTTGGACTAACACTCCACTAAAAATGCAATGGCGGCAATATTTGAAGGAAAGACGTGTCAATTATTGTGCTTTTCCTAAAGATTTGTCTATTCGTTGGAATAGTACTTATAACTTAATTCAAGTACTTATTAGATATAAAGATCATTTTCCTGCTTTTTTAAGGCAAACTTGTAACTATATTATAAACCCGGTTGACATCGACACTTGTGAAAAAATTGTTAATGTTTTGGTATATTTTAATAACGCAACTCAAACTTTTAGTCATGTTTATAAACCTACCGCAAACGAATTTTTTGTTGAAGCTGTTAATCTCGCCGGCGCTTTTTTAGAATTTTCCGATGCCGCTTACGTTAGTTATTTTTGTGATTTCATGAAACAAAAGTTTTTAAAATATTATTCACATGTTCCGCATATATATGGTATTGCATTTGTTCTTGATCCTCGTTATAAACTTGTCTCGTTGCCAACTTGTATAGATTACTATTATAATTGTTTTTTTCCAACTCAAGAGTTCGATGATAACCCCATCGACCCTAAACAAGAATACAACGAGGTTAGTAATTTATTTCATCAATTGTATAATGAATTTTATGCACAATATGGTAATGCACCCCCTCCCATGCCGCGAACATCTTCTTCATCTAAAGGAAAATCACTTTTAAAATCTGCATTTGGTTCTCTTATGAAAAAAACTAGAGCAACTCCCGCTACTGAACAAAAGCTCAGTTAACGAGCTTTCTTTGTATCTAACAATGAAAGTTGATTATGAAGTTGGGGATGATTTTGACGTTCTTAAGTGGTGGAAGGACAATGAAAGAACGTTCCCGGTTTTATCAAAGATGGCTAAGCAAGTGCTAGCAATGCCGATATCAACAGTTGCCGTGGAACAAGAATTTAGTGCGGCCGGCAACGTCCTAACCGATTATAGAACGAGGTTGAGCCCGAGCTCTCTTGAGACGCTAGTTTGCTTCCATGATTGGTTGAAGGCCAAACGAAGAACTCAAGAAATGACCATCGCTCCCACCCGCCACTTTATGGAGGAAACAACCACCGAAGGCGGAGATTCCGATTGATTTTTTATTTCAAAATGTATTACATTTCTTAAATGCATCCTAATTCTCAATTGTACTTCTTATTTGAAATAAAAATACTTGAATTATTTTATATTATTGTGTACATCAATTCAATAATTCAATTCAATAAAATTAATTTCTAAACTTGTACTTCATATGTAGCACTTCTCAAATTAATTAATTGGTTACAAACTTATAACTTACAACTTGAATTTTTTTTTGTAAAATGTAAAGGCTGTTTTTAAATTAAAATATGTAATATTAATATGTAAATTAATTAATTTGTTGCAAACTTACAACTTACAACTTATACACCGATTTTGTAACATTTGTAAATTATAAATCAAATCACTTTTCTAAGTAAAAATAGTTTTACTTAATTAAAAAATTAAAAACATTTTCCTTACACAATATGTATAATTTTCTAAATCATATCACTTTCCTTACACTTTTCTAAATCAAATCACTTTTCTAAGGGAGTGTTTGCAATTGCTTCAACTTTAAAAAAGTGATTTTTTAAAGTGATTTGGGAAAAGTGATTAATAGTAAAAGTTGGTAGTGTTTGAGGAAAAAGTGATTCTGAAAAAGTAAAAATTGGTAGTGTTTGGTAAAATAAGTACTTTTTGTGTAATAGAAAAAGTGAAAAGCAGTTTAAAGCACCCTTCCACCTGCTTCCAGCTTTTAGCTTTTAAGTGATTAATTTAAGCAGAAGCTGTCATTTGAAAACACTCTTTTTAACTTTTTTTAAGCCAAAAGCTGAAAAGTGCTTTTTTTAATAAACTGCAAACACTCCTTAAGTAAATTATACACAATATGTAAAACATTTTCCTCAATTCTCAAATGTACTTCCTATTTCAAATAAATGCACTTGAATTTTGTTTTTAATAACAATTATTATAATAATATAATACATAAATTAAAAAAAAAATTAAAAGGACCGGCCCGAACCGGGCCCGGCCCGTGAACCGGGCGGGTGGCCCGAACCGGACCCGGGGTTACCCGGGCCGGTTCCGGGCCTCCCAAACCTTGAACCGAGGCCCGGCCGGTTCAAGGCCCGAACCGGGCCCGGCCCAAACCGAGTCCATCCTTAGGCGAGTGGCTAAATCAACTGAATTAAGGAAAAACTATTTTAAAATGTACAACGTATTTTATTAATAAAAAAACATTAAAGAAAAACACCCCATAAGTAATTTTAACAAATACTCCGTAACATTCTTATATGACATTCTGTTATAAATCAATCCAAATTCAAAACAGCATGGTCAAACGGGAATATATTTGACCGAGAAAATAAAAGATGCGGACATAAGTTAGTACCCTAAAATAGATGAAATAAAGGTGATAACTTGCTGGGGGGGCATCATCATAAATCACAGAGAGTAATAATCTCGGTAAAAGTCTTCACAACCCGCATCAGAGTCAGAACCGCTGTAGCCACAACATCCACACACATCCGGGCAAATGTCATCTGATGGTTCATCCCCATCAAGTCTAGCCACATCAATGATAGAATCAGAAGGGAGTCTCAAATCCTTTACCCTCTCACGGCATCTCTTTTCCAAATCCTGTGTCATTTTGAGACAGTAGCATTGCCGTATATCTAGCGACTTTAGGTGGGCACAGCCCTGAAGAATGGCTTCAAGCCCGTCGTTTGTCATGTGATGTGCAAAGAGGCTAAGATGCTGCAAATTGGGCATGTTTTTAGCAATTGCTAAAGCATAGTCATTACAGTCGGGTCCCGCGCGAACGTTGCAAGCTTCCCAAGATCTGTACCCGTAGTCATCGTGTGTGAATGATATCAACTTTGGGCACGAACGGCCAATAGCTTCGACATCTTTGGCAAGAACTGTTGGCATAATGACCAGGTGACACTCTTCCAATTCAGGGAACTTTTTTAATGCTTCAGCTAAAACAGTTCCCGACACCTGTGTGCAAGATTCAAGCTTCAGTCGTTTGAGACTACATGATCTGCCAAAATTTTACCACATTATTAATCAAACCATATAATGACAAGAACAATAAGAGAGTTGATGATGTAAACAATGTGAAGCAAGATAAAGCAAAACTTCAAAAAGCAAGCGCTATTAAAAGTGGTATATTAGTAGACATCATTGGTACAATGAACTAAAAATTAATCACACCTATCTGATTATGCTAATTTTGCAAAAGATCTGCAAAAATAACGTTTTGTATTCAGTTTTCAACGTGACAAAATACTGTTACAACATTTTCACTATTTTAAACAGTGATAATCGATAGCAAAGATGTTGCATTAGATTGTAACAGCTTTTTCATTATTAACCAGTAAAGATTTCACCCACCACAAAGTTTGGGTGAGAGACTCCATCTCCTAGACAATGATGTGTTTAGATGAACATACAAGATTTCAAATACTTGAAAAGAAGACGTCCGGCCTCCTGTTTAAAATGTACACAAAACAAGAAAGATAGAAGGCAAACAAATTTTGAGAATTGCGAATTTGCGATTTCATCAGAAGATGTCTATTCCCGGCTTATTAAAACTCCATCTCAAATTCCAAGGCAAACTTAACAAACAACATATGCCCTTGACAAAGCAAACACAATATCATCATATCTGATTTCCCAGGTTTCTATATACTACGGGATTTTTGACTTTTCCAATCAATGACAGTATTTTAATAGAGTATATTTTAGTGAAACTTATAAATTATAAATTTTATAATAGTATTTAGCATAGAACATTTTCATATCATTTCCATATTATAAATATTTTCATATATAAATATATTATCGATCAAAGTTTAACACCATTGACCGGAAAAGTCAACGATGACTAACTACAAATTAAAGCAAGGGATGGAGTATATATACACATGCATTACGGATATGCTTATACATTTACAATCAGTTCGTTTGAACGGTTTTGTAGAGGAGAGTCTTGGAATAACGGTAAGCTGTAAATGAGGATGTTTTTAAGTGACTAAAATTTCTCTGGACTGGTCAAATCTAATTTATTTAAGTTTGGTCTAATTCGAATTGGTTTATTTTACTATTGTCTAGGTCTAGTTTAGTATGATCACAGACGGATGCACATAGAAGAGATGGGGGATTGCTGCCCCCAATAAGTGGCCTATTTTTAGCTTAAATTCCATTACAAAAACCGCATACTCACAAATTTGCCCCTCATTGTAAAAAGAAGTTGCCCCCTATAAATGATCCTGCGGCCAAACATACAGAAGGAAAAAAGTTTGCCCCTTGGCATTGTAGTGGTAAAATCGAAGAGATAAAAACTGAGCCCATAAGTAAAGATTTTAAGTATATACACACTCAGAAGTACATACCATACTCCTTATTAGTTAAAATATTACTCCTTATTTCGACAGTTACCAATGCCACAAACAAATACAACAAGTATTAGTTATTTTTTGATGGTTTGAGATTTAAGTATTTAAATAAAATATTACTCCCTCTATCCCGATAACAATGGGACAAGAGGGAGTGACACGCAAACTAATAAAAAGTGGTTTATGTGGTTGATATTGAATTGATAAAGTAAGAATAAGGTAACAATGATTTAGAGCCACTCAAACTTTGCCAAATTCGGTATGTGACAATCTTAGTGGTACGGACCGAAATGGTAAAACGGGACAATCTTAGCGGGACGGAGGTAGTAGTTCAATAAAAAATATAAGTAAATTTGACATTTTTATCAAATTTGGACTTTCAAGTCTATTTGGTAATTTTTTTCTTCAACTTATCAAACTTATTCTCCAACTTTTTCATCAAATACGGAGTTTGTGTTATAACCAAAATAAGTAAGGTCGAAATTACTTTTCTGAGTGAATTGGTTGAACATATCGTAGAGGACAATTTTAGCTATTTTTATGTAAATTTGTTTTGATTTTAATAATTAAGATCATTCAGCTACTTCAGTCAGAATTTCATAAATTTCAACCGGTTCAACTGATTCAACCAATTTAAGTGTTACCAAACACACCCTAAATGGACAACCTTTTTAATAAAAACACCCTCATCAACACCAAGATAATCAAGTCCACTTGTATCTAGTGCTACAAGTTAAGAGAAAAAAAAATTATTGGAAGTGCCTTGCCAATCACATGGTCGTGAATTCTCACAAAATAAAAATTGGAGAGACTTTGAGACGATTTAATTATAGATAGCTTGAGCCGTATCCTAACTGATTAGAATATACTACGTACGTAGTATACAAAATGATGAAGCCTTTTGTGAAAGTTACTAGTTGCTTGGAAATGATTTGAAAACTGTGTTAAGAATGATAAACTGCTTATTACAATTTTTTCTATCCTTAATAAATTTTATTGAGTATTTTTGTATTTAGATGGACTTCATTTATATTTTGCCCCCAATAGTTTTATTTTTTGGATCCACCACTGAGTATGATATGAACTGTTCTGGTCTGTTTAGGTCTGGTGTGAGACTACCATACCCCTGCATATAGAGAGAGGCTGCAAGGCTGCAAGGGAAAGTGACAAACCATATAATGCATCTACTTAGCTATACCACCCTAATACAAGTCTATACTGATAAGTGAAGTATACATCTTCCATTTAAATGTGAGATTTTGAAATAATAGAGGAAATTCTTAAACCACGAGGGTTTTGGGAATGTCATTCCAAAAACGGGATTTTGCTATCTTGGATGAATTTACGGGATTTGGAAACCCCAATTCCGAATTGGATGATGGGTGGTGGTGGGGTGGAGAGGAGGAGGGGGGAGGGATAGGGGTGAGGCTAATTTAAAATATCATTTTTTTTACTAAGTTATCTAAAAAAAATTATTTGTACTTTATATTTTACAAAAATTATATCAAAATTCATAACTTTTTGTGATCTTTCTAACAACACCAATATTCCATAAATAAAGTTTTTTTAAAAAAATTGAAATTTCAATAGTATGAGGTTTTCGAATTCAAATTTTTTAGATAGATCTAATGGTAGAATTATAACATTTTTTAAAATTAATTAAAACAATTAAAATAGTTATATGGATATTGAGATCTTAATTTTAGCACTTGAATCTATTTAAGAAAAAAATTGGGTCTGAAAAACTTTCTACTATTAAAACTTCACAAAAAAATAAACTTTATATATGGAATATTGTTGTCATTAAAAAGGTAATAAAAAATTGTGAATTTTGATATATTTTTTGTAAAATTTGAAGTAAAAATTAAAAAGTTACATCTATTTATAAATAAATGGGATTTTAGATTAGCCAACCCCCACCCCCTCCTGGCGAAGCTACCCCTCCCACCCGACCTAGTCTTTTCAATCGGAAGTCCCATTTCCAAATCCCTCTTTTTAAGAAAACCTAGGTAAACTCCCGTATTTTTGCATTGGATGTTAGGTTTTCCCGTATTATCAGAAATCACCCGAAATAATAATAACATAATGGAATCATATACCAATATACGTAGTAATATAATGGTTTTCAACACCAATCGTTCTTTTTCAGGAAAAATTTATTCATCACGATTCAAAATATGAACTAAGTCCCAAGGGTGATTTTTGAGAATACGGGAAAACCTAACATCCAATGCAAAAATACGGGGTTTTCTTAAAAAGAGGGATTTGGAAATGGGAGTTCCGATTGGAATGATTAGATCGGGTGGGAGGGGTAGGTTCGCCAGGAGGGGGTGGGGGGAGGGGGTTGGCTAATCTAAAATCCCATTTATTTATAAAGAGATGTTACTTTTTGAATTTTACTCCAAATTTTACAAAAAATATGTCAAAATTCATAATTTTTTATCACCTTTCTAATGACACCAATATTCCATATATAATTTTTTTTTTGAAGTTTTAATAGTAGAAAGTTTTCAGACACAAAATTTTTCTTAAATAGATTCAAATGCCAAAATTAATCTCACTGTTCTCATAACACTTTTACATGATTCAAATAATTTTTAAAAATGTTATAATTCCATCATTCCGATCTATCTATAAAAATGAATTTGAAAACCTCATACTATTGAAATTTCAATATTTAAAAAAAAAACTTTATATATGGAATACTGGTCGTTAGAAAGATCACAAAAAGTTATGAATTTTGATATAATTTTTGTAAAAAATAAAGTACAAATAAAAAAGTTAGATCACTTACTAAAAAACTGATATTTTAAATTAGCATCACCTCTACTTCTCCCCCTTCCCCACCCCACCACCACCCATAATCCAATTCTCCCCCTTCCCGTAAATTCTACTTCACCCCCGCGGTTTAAGAATTTCCTCAAGTCCCAAAGACTAGCTTGTCTTGCCCAAAACCATTCGTCCAATTCCAAACTGGCTAGGGTTTTGGATGACTTATATTTCTTGTCAAGTAAAATGATAAATATCATGCAACGAAAGGCCTCAAATATAAGCAATTGAGCAAAAATATAATAATCAAACGGCAATTAATACGAAGGAAGCGCTCTTTCAATTTTTAATTATTCGTGTGCATTATACTTACCGATCCGCGATGTAGTTAAGCAGGTCATCGTCGGCGAAGCATTCGATTGTAAGGTCGACCAACTGCCCCTGACTACGATCAACTGCTCGTCGGCAAGCCAAGCGAAAGTCCTTGTGGGCCACGTCCGGTCTGCCCAAATCGATCACGCGCCACACGGAAGGATAGTGGCAAACTTTCCACCAAGTAGTACACACTCTCTGTGCGCTCCAGAGTATCTCTTTGGAGCCCAGCCTTTTCAGAATATTAGCCGTCACATCTCCGGGCAGTTCAATCCACGGCGGGGGAGGAGGCGACGTCACAGGGGACGAAGGAGCCTCAGCCGCCGGGTTTTCCTTTTTGGTTTTGGGATTCGGGTTTTCGGATTTCCTCTTTCTTCCCATGATTATTGATTCGGAAGGGGCTGAGGAATTGAAAAGGTGTTTCGATCGTATATAAGGACGGTGAGCGTGGGGGTGGGTTGGGCCTACCCTCGATCACCTCAAGTTGTGGAACCCATGTTGGTCACGTCCGCCTCAACCAATTTTTCTGCTCTTCACTCCGATTTCCTTCCTTCTTTCACAAGCTCATGATAATTGATAATCTCACTCCTTTTATTTGCGGAAAATCGTAGTTTGAGCTAGGGCTGCACAAAAATTATGTGAACCGGATAAACCCGCCCGACCCTACCCAGCCGATTTCAGTCGGACATTTAGCCCATTACAAAATTTATGGGTTAATTTTTTAAGAACCCGTGCATTACGGGTAGGGGTGCGGCATCTAAAATAAAAACCCGTAACCCCCGACCCGGCCGCCATCAATACACATCTGCTAAGAGCATCCACAATCAAAAGGCGCAAATTATACCGTACGACCGGCATACCATGCGCATGGTATGCCCGGTCTAAAACGGCATCGTTTCACAATTAAAAAAGACAGCAGAGTTTCGTTCTTATTTCAATTTCATCTTATTATTTCATCGTTCATCGCCGCGGAGCTTCCCTCAAAGAGAGATGTTGATGGATCTAAATTAAAGGCAAGGTCGATCATCAATGGGGGCCTCTGGTGTGAAGGCCTTTTTTCCCAGCAAAGAAGGGGAGATGATGTGGAATTAGGGTTCTAATCGCCGATTGAACGACGGAGGGGATTGAGAACCTTCAATATCGATGCCGGAATCGATCACCACACATCCCTGGAGTTATCAGGAACAATTAGTTGCGTGTAATCTCCAGGCATGCTTTCTATTCACCAATTGCAGATACACCAAATAGGGTTGTGGAGAGCTCTCCATTTGCCAATTGCACAAACATCAAACAGGGTTGTGGAGATGGTGTAACTTAGGCTCAGTATATCTTTGGCGGAAGTTACATCTGTATAAAGGCCATTTACATTTGAATGGCCTAAAGTTACATTTCATATACACTAGAATTACATCTCGTTTTGGCTAAACTTACATTTTGTAACACGCGTTTTGCATTTCAATTTTCCTCAATAAGTTACATCTTGTTTACATGTTATTTACATTTTAATGTACGCAAGTTACATCTTAATATATGCGAGTTACATCACAAAACTATACAAGTTACACAACAAAACAAACCTCTATTTTTTAATCAAAAGTGATTTTATTATTAAAAATCATTATTAATGGACCTAATATTAAAAACAAAACATATATGCACTATTTATGTAAAATAATTGGATAATTAAACTCTTTTTTTCATTAAACATGAGTTACTTTTCAGAGCATAAGTTACATATGTTGTTAACTGAAGTTACATTTGTAGCAACACGAGTTACATCTAATTATGCACAAGTTACATCATTCATTCTACTGGGATGAAAATTTAAAAAAAAAAATACTGTACACGCGGGTACTGTTCACGCGGGTACTGTTCACACGTTTTTTTTTACATTTGATTAAAACTACGTCGTTTTGGGGTGTGGAGCCTGGTGCTCACCATGCTCCGGTTGCACGGTATAGGGACTGATCGAAAGGTGTTAACAGCTTAAATATTTTGACACGTGGCCACTGATGTATGGATCAGTCTTCCACATCACGTTGGAGTCATTTATGCCGGCCGACATTATATTCACTCCCAGAATTCATGCGCAATGCTCCATGTCTAACAACCCTTCGTTTACCAACGTGTAAAATACGGAGTAACTAATTTTTAGTAATTCCACTTGCGCCGCTCCTTTATAAAATATTCTGTAGTTATCAAATTCAATTCTGAGTGGATCAAATGCCATGCAATTGTCTTCATGGATCAAATGACTTTTGAGTTTAAAAAAAAACGTAGAGGTAATACTTACCTATATCAATTCATTGAATTCGATATATATATATATATATGTGTGTGTGTGTGTGTGTGTGTCTATTATTCAATAAATTCATTTCATCTATATCTATTACTTTTAATTTCTATTAAATTCTTTGAATAATACGTAGTATTATTAATTTGTTCATTTATTATTTTTATTTTGATTGAGCCTGTTGATGATTTTTTGAAAATAATACACACTTTTGTAAGCAGGTTAATTTTGACAAAAATGGCAACACCTAGTTATGACTCGGATTCCAATAGCTCATCATCTAGCGGTGACTCACATACATTATCTATACAAATGCTTAATCAGCTCAGGAGGGACGATGACATTTTTGCTGAAATGAACATTGATGTAGTGGAGGCATGTGCAGTTCAGGTCCCGTTGATATTATCTCCTATGCTAATATGTAGTAAAGGTCCTCATGGTGGTTCAACAAGTGATAGACGGCATATAAACCGTGATAGGAAAGAACGTCATGATCTAATTGTCAATGAACTGGGAAATCGATGTTCCGTCTTCATTGAAGCCTTCTTCTTCTTCTTCTTCTTCTTCTTCTTCTTCTTCTTCTTCTTCTTCTTCTTCTTCTTCTTCTTCTTCTTCTTCTTCTTCTTCTCCTCCTCCTCCTTCTTCTTCTTCTTCTTCTTCTTCTTTCTTCTTCTTCTTCGCAGATGAGTTGCAGCGCGCAGATTAATTACAAAAAAACCCGGCTGTATCGTGTGCACGGTACAACCGGCTGTACCATGGAATTTACGCCCCATCGACCCTTACTAAAATCTACGGACTTCTTCTCAAAATAATTTCTTTTAGGCTGTGTTCGGTATACAAATTCAGTTCATAATGGGGCAATGGGCTGAAATTCTTTATGGTCAATAATAGTGAGGAAAAATAATTAAAATATCCCAAATTTTGAAAGAATGTGATAACACCTCAAACTTGTCCATGTAAATTTATGATGTTAATTGCATAATTTAAAATATTTTAGATTTCATGAAGACACAATTAACATTATAAACTTTAATTACGAAATAAATAATGTTATCCCCAATCTATATAATAATTGCAAAATTTTAAATTTGCTATTGTAATATAATATACGGAGTACCATTTTTTCTTGAATTGCCCCAATTAAGCACACATGTGTCTGCGTTTTTTTTGTTACTTGGCCTCGCTCACTCGCTGCATCTGGGCTATGTTGCACATCTTAATTCAATTTGCAGTACGAACTAACATACTCCGTCTTTCAAAAAAGAGAAAAAAGATTGGTGTACACAAAAGTTGTACACAAAATTTGTACACTTGTCTGTCCCTCACAGACAAGTTGTCTGTCCGGAAACGAGTTGTCTGTCCACAGACAACTTTTCTACTTTTCTGCGAGGGACAGAAAACTCCAGCTTTTGTGTACAGCTTTTGTGTACTACCGGGATGCATAGACAAGTGTACATCTTTTGTATACACCTAGCTTTACTCCAAAAAAAAAACTAACATACTCCGTATAAATTAAGAATAACATATACTCCGTACTATATATCGTACTATCGTACTAGCTAAGTATCTCTACAATCTTATAAGAGTGAATGTTGTTAAGGGTATTGTGGTCATATGAAATGTGTTGGTGATTCACTACGCCAATGAATATATTGAAATAAGGAAGGATCCCTTATATATTCCTTATAACTAATAAGGGAATGAGTCCTTATTAAATCCCTTATTAAAATGCTCCTTATTACTTGAACAATAAGGACCAATTCCCTTATAACCAATATAAGGGATTAATAGCCAATAGGCCCTTATATAATTCCTACGTGGAAGAGTTATACTGCTTACCCTGTATAAGGGATTAATAACGGCAATTCCGTTATTAACGATATTATCACATAAGATAATTGTTATATTCTTGAAAAGCAATTGTTTTAAAATTATTATTATTATTATTATTATGAATAAATTTTACTTGAAAACGGTAATTTTTCAAATCAACAAAATAAAATAATTGTGCTACACAGAACAGAGTTCAATAGTTGTCAAAAAATATGAATACAAAATAATTATCATTCAAATAATCATCCATCATTACATTTAGATTACAAAAGAATTCCCGACTAATATTGTTGAAGCAAATCACTGACTACAACCATCTTGTGCTTATCTGCTCTTCTCAAAAGAGATGTGGTTGTACTCAAGCATCCTAGCATCTTCCCCGGCCAATCTTTACTTGTAACAGTTACTTGTCATAAACCTCTTTGACATATATGCTGAAAATATTACAAATAAGTATGAGTTTTTTACACAAATATTATCAATATAGTTTGGGTTTACAAAAAAGTGAGTAACTACCCACCACCTACGGCAATCTAGGAGTAGCTATAGGAAAATCACTTTGTTCTTTCAATTAGTAGTCATATTTTTATTAGAGAGATTTAAAGTAGTAATATATGTGTAAATTTTTCAATAAGTATGATGAGAACTCTTAAAACACAACAGAATACTACAGTTTAATAAGAATAAGCATATACTCTGGGTAAATCATAATACCTCAATGTGTGTAGCATATGTTATCATCTGTTGCATACACATCTTAAGAACAATTCTGCGCAAAAATAACAAAATCCCTCGTGTGATTGAAATAGTATGTCATTAATAATCAATCAATAATCTTGACTGGAACATGGCTTAAGATTGATGATTCAAGGTAATAAAATCTCTTCCATATCACTTGAAAAAACACAAAAAAGAATAAGAAATCCGTTGAGAACCCCAATTATGAGGAAATATCCTACATTGAGCAAAGGATTTCAGTCCATTCAACAACAATAATACTTAATTAGAGAAGAAATTGTTAAGTTCAGCACAAACTTATGAACTTCAATTGCTAATCCAAAACATTCAGAATACGGAGTATACAAAAATCATATCACTGCTTTAAAAAAAGCTAAACTGGTTAGTAATATTAGTACTACAAATACACACCAGATTCGGATACATAGAGAACAGCACCCCATGTCTAACGCTAAGTTGGTTAAAGAAGTAAATTAAAGGAATTTCATACCTAGTGCTGCATCGAGGAAGATGAACTCGTATACATATAATTATGATTTACGCGGCGCGGGGCGGTTGCTGTGCGAGTTAATTTATCCGATGCTACTCAGACGAAGGTATAGGCAACGGCGGTGTAGAATCAACCGTGAACGGAAAACATGAAATATGACTGAAGAAGATGAGGCGAGGTGAGGATTCAGATGAAAGGAAGGCGGCGGCACCCTTCAGAACGTTGCGATTAGGGTTGAAAGGAGAG